CTGTGGAATTATTGAGCTTAGGGTTCATGTGGAAGTCTATATGGGTTTCTCTTCTTCTTCTCCATTATTGTTGGAGGGTTAGGTTTAGGGTTTTATTTAGCCCACCATGCCTCATACCTAATACAGTCTCGATCACCTCTCTGTCTTTTTCTCATCCAATTATTGTACCATAAAAATAATAATAACACGTTTTTGTGTTCGGCCATGTTTTGAAGGTGTTATGAAATTTTTTAAATATAATGTAATTTTTTCAACATCTAACAAATAATGGAGAAGAACCCTCGTAAATACTCGTAGATATCTCAAGACAAGAATACTTATTGAGATTTGAATCACTCAACAAGTAAGATCGATCCGATCAAGTTTGAATGATTCTAATTATACAATCTAAACTACATAAATCATTTTTCTAAAATATATAGACAATGGACTCGTACAATTATTGAGTTTGATACATTTGTGATGATATTTTAATTTGTTGATATTATATATCTTAGTTGGTACGAGTATAGAGTTGCTCCCTTTGTATTTATGATTAAACTTACTTTGAACGGTGCTTGATTTAGGTACGATTTTATGGTTTAACGGCCGTTTTTGTTGAATGTAAAGGAAAGGTACACATTATTGATGGTTGATGGGCTAGCAGTAGACCCAACCACGACTTCGTGGTCACGTTTTTCATATCGACATTCGTAAGTGTTTCTATTGTAAATTGTGATTCAATTTCATTTTGGCCCCTTAATTACAATCGTGCACTACCTTCATCTAGAGTTCATTGGAGGCAAAGTCTCGGCAGTGGGACATTGGACGTAAGGGGTTCTTCAACGTAGAGAATGTTACTAGTTTGCATGCAATACTAAAGGAACAATAATGCATGGTAAAGTATTGAGCGTAGGGTTTTCGCCACTTCTATCATATGCATCTCTCTGGTGGTCATGTCATTTGAGGTTGCGTACAAACAACTATCGAGGGATTCCCACAGAGAGGTTGCATTTGAAGTTAGCTTTTGTTCCGTCGAAGTTCTGTTTACTTGACCCGACCCTCCATCGAATGGCGTCCATTCATGTCCTGCGATCTAAACCCGAAAATAAAGGGTTGGGTTGTGAAACAATTTTGGGTTGAGTTGGTTTACCAATCCAACCGATTCAAATTCTTGGGTTGGTCCGAAAATTTTCCTCAACACGACCCATGCACACCCCATAATTAATGCTTAGATTTAAGAAAAAAAAACTTTTAAAATAGCTTTTATCGTGAGCATATAGACAAAACCATCGATGCCACGTTTTAGATGATCTACAAGGTTTAGATAGATAGTTTCAAGTCATAATTGGCGATAAAACTTTTCTTGAACATTTTTTTTAGATCAAGAGTATTAATGCTACTTTTAAAATTTTATGAGTATTTTTTTTAATATATGTACGTGTGTATATATATATATATATATATATATATATATATATATATATATATGAGTTGCTTCTAAATTTACATGCAATTTGGCACATGGATACATCTCTTTCAATTTATAATTACTTAACCTTCTCCATTGGGTTCCTTTTCAAGAGAGTTAAGATGTCAATATCAATCTCTCTTTTACAAATTTTTTTAGAGTGCGACTTCTCACAAGTGTTTGACATATATATGCGTATTAATTTCATAGCCCTTCAAAGTTCAATGTATCAAATAAGAGAGATGCTAGAGTTCCCTACTTCAATTGTGATGTTTTTTCTGTAATAATTGCTATCGTTATCTGAGTAACGACCTTATTTTTTCAACCTAGATAGATTAGGGTCATTACGATATTCATGTTTGTGATATTTTCAAATCCATCGGAAAAACATTGGGAGATAAAAATTTATTCCGAAGAGAATTAAAAACTTTTATTTAAGATCCCAATAAAAATATTAAAAAAAAAATTGAAATACCATAGATGTGTAAATAAGTTGAAACCATCTCCTAACATAACATCACGAACAAATGTGTTTAAAAGTACAAAATAACATGAAAGTATTTAGGTTATTTACGTTATGGTATGAGAACGATATGATGTAGGTTATGGTATGATATATGTGATTATTGATATGGTTATAATTTGATATAATGTGAACCTGGAAGTATGAAAACGTTATGATATGACATATGTATGCAATTTGAACGATATGATGCGATTGACATGCAAAACGACGAACTAGCATGAAATACAACACCGGCATTTGCATGCAAGATACGATAAATGATATGATAAACTATATGAGAAATGACATGGGAAATGATAGGAATAAAACACTAGAGGGGTTGTATTGAATAATAATGAAAATGAAAAAATGTTGGGACCTCATGCATTATTGTGTATTCATGCATTGAGGGATACCCCTATTCCTTCATGATAGTATAGACGTGTACACTACTAGACAGGGGGGACGTTCATTATGTTTATCATAATGATGTCGTGACGGTCGCTATTCCTAACAAGTGTCCGACATCAATAGCTCCCGGAGAATGCTTGCTAGACCAGAAAGGGGACCCAGGAGGTGTGCAAACTAACCGGTGGGTCCACACTCGCATATGTGAACCCGGTGTAGGAAAATTAAGTTCACATCCCAATTGCCCGTCAAGATAGCCCTCATAGGAAGATAGACTGTTATGATATGTTTCATTCATAAAATTGGATGTGTTTGCATTTAACCTCAATAGTGGGGTCACATGCTACTTCTATTTCAGGTAAAGGCAAAGCATCCTTGTACGGTTGGCTAACAACGGTATCGCAATTTGAGATCATGACACAAGCATAGGGTAGTCACATTTATTTTTTTTACACTTAGGCTATAATAGAATGTTTTTAATTTAAATATTTATTTATTTCATTTAATTTATTGTTATGCCGTTTTAAAAATATGTTCGAACACGTAAGTCCATGACTGTGTTTTATGATAAAAGCTTATGTTATAAAAAATTTAAATGAAGTATTTCTGCATTCAATGTTTATGATGTGTATGCAGTAGCGACCTTAGATTAAGTAGAAAATTTAGGATCGTTACATAAAATTACGATCTAACTTTTAAGACTGTTATGAAAATTAAAATTATTTTACATGTGGATACGTATGATTTTTTAAAATAATTAAGAAAAACAACCCGACAACTTATTCCAACCCTAAGTAGAGATTTGCTTGGATTGCGAACTCTATCCAGGTTGTTCGAGTTAGTTCAAAAGCATAGCGAGTTCAAAATTATTATTTTAAAAATTTTAAACTCTTTTGTAGAATAAAAGTTGAAAATAATAATAATAATTTTATTTAAGTATTTTAAAATTTCTTTTTTGTTTTTACGATCGTACCAAAGTGTTTTTGAAAATTAAAAACTATTTTAAGAACACAACTAAAAATGTGACCTTTTTTAAAATAAAGGCCACCAAATCTTTTTATTTTTATTTTCTTTTTTCAAAATTTGTCCGATCATGGCCCCTTTCATGTTATTAGTTTAGCCCATAAAGGAAGCCCATTTAACGGGAAAGCCCATATAGATTGTAGCCCATTTGTTCAGTTAGCCCACACACATTTAGGCCCATTTTTAAATTATTTATTAAAAAGGTGTTGCCTTTTTTTAAAAACATGCTTGTAATTTGAAATCTAATAAAATAACCTTGGGTTTAATTAAATTTCCAAACTAAATTTAAGGAATTGAGACTTAAATAAAACAAAACACTCATCCAACCATTCAAAAATTTATAACTTAATTAACCCGATGGATCTTTTCACTTAGCTACTAAGTTTGTGTTCTTGTATTACGATCGCACTTTTTTCGGCAATAGGATAGTGATTATATGACACTTGTTATAACCTATCGAATAAGCCAGCTATGTAAAAATCGTAATTCACAGACAATTCATATATGTCAATAGTAGACATAATTTCATCAAACAGTCCAACACAAAGAAAATACAATATAAAATAATACAACATGAAAGAAATAAAAAGGTTTAATAAATTATCAACATGTGACCATAGATGACACGTCGAACAAGCATAAATGTGACACTAAACAAATGAGTGAGAGTTCGACGTTGTGTGAGCCAAACTAGCCAGATTAACACATGAGTTTTCTAAAAACTAAATTAGAATTTATTGTTTATTAATTTATTTTCATAATTTTTTATTATTTATTGTCCTACTATTCTTTAAAATAATTTAAAACTATTGAAATGTAATTTTTCAAAATAGAGTGAAATTGAATTGTAAGATTTAATAAATAAATTAATATTTTATTTTTATAATAACAAATATAGTGAAATTAAATTATTTTTGTGGTTGTGCTGAGTTCCTTCTTTAACTTAAAAAAATATCAATTAAATTTACATAATAAATTTAAACATCCAAATAAATAATTTAATTTATTTTGGAAGGTATATTAAAAGTAATAAAATTTATTTTTTTTTTCTATAAAATAAAAGGTATTAATACTGCTAGTATTTGTATTTGAAATATGGTACTAACCATAGGTGGGTATTATTTTTTAAAATTCTTAAAAAAAATAAAAATATTGATAAAAATTTAAAAGTTGAAAAATATATATTTTTTTTGGAAACAAGGGATTATTCATATTTAAAGTCGATGGGTATTGTTGTAATTTTAAAAAAGGATATATTTAAAATAAAATATAAAGTTTAGAAATATTGTTAATATTAATTTAATGAAAAGAGTGCAGATCTATTTGGCGTGAAAAAAGAAAGAGGGAAATAGAGAGGGTGCAAAATGCAAATGAATTCAAAAAGTGTAGCGGCTAAAATTAAAACGGTCATATAATGGTCCCCACCCGAATATTCCGTGGAATCCAACAACTCAAATTTGTAAAAAGGAGAGGGGAGGAGGGGCAAAATGGGAAAATAAGGTCACCGGAAAACCACATAATGTGGCGCATCGAGAACCGGCGACAGATCCTGGTTTGACCGACGTACATTAAAACCCGGCCACGAATGATTGGTTTTCATCCCTCTTTGACCCAACCAAATTTTCGAAAAACGCCATCTCTTCACTTTTTTCCTCTTTTCCCTCTTTTTTAAAACCTAATTTCAACAGTTTCAATTCCCATTCTTTCCCCCTTTCTCTCAATCTCTCTCTTTGTTTGTTCTTCGTTCGTTCGTTTGTTTGTTTGTTTGTTTATTTGTTTTTGGATCCTTTTTTTTTCTTCTGGGGTTCTTCTATTAACGCCTTTAGCAGCTGGAGGAGAGAGAAATTTGTGTTTCTCTCTCTTCTGCTGGATATCCCTTTGGCCTTTTCTTCATTTTTCGTGTTCGTCCATTTCTGAAGAACCTGTGTTTTGTACGGGATTTGTTCGTTGAGGGCGTGGTTTTGTGTTTTATGAGCGATTTGGAGTTTCAATCTTTCTGTTCGGTGTGAGAGGACTTTGCAATATCAATAATCGCTATGAATATGATGCGTCGGCTTAAGAGCATTGCTTCTGGAAGGACTTCGATTTCTTCTGACCCTGTGAGTATAGCTTTCATTTTAATTTTGCTTTTGGGAAATCGGAGTTCGGATTGGGGAATTTTTGGGCGTTTGAATTCCTCGATCGCGATTACCAACTGGGAAGTTGCCTGATTTATACGTAACGTTCGTTTTCCTTCTCATTTTCTTCGAATTTTGATTTAATTGCTATATCTGTCGTTTTCATCCCATAATTGTTCATAAGAAAATAAAGCTTGTATTGATGTTACCCGGTAACTTGGTTCCTCTGATTTATTTTTTTTTTTTTTTTTTTTTTTCCAATATAGTGTGTTCTATATATGAAAATCATTCGATAGGCTACTTGGTGATCTGTGTTTAAGATCTATATAACATGGTGGAACGTTATGCATAATTGAGATACTCTTAATGCTGTGCTATTATGATGTTTTTGTTTTCATTAATTTTGATCTTTTCTTACTAATGTGTATTTTAAGGGTGGAGATCTTGGAACTAAGCGAGCTAAAGTTGATCAAGAAACTGAACAAAAGATCGATGGGGTTTCGGACGATGTCGGAAGAGTTGCCACTGGTTTAGAGTCGAATTTGGCTTCAACTTCTTTGGATAATGCTGCAAGCACATCAAACATTTCATCAACAGCTGGTGTAGAGAAATCTAACAATTCTTCAAAAGCTAGAGCAGAGAAATCTGGTGTTGATAATCTTCCAAGAGAAATGCGTGAAATGAGAATTATAGATGAGAAATCCAACCATGATGAAAAGGTTAAATATTGCTATGTCAAATTGTTGAAACCATAAACAAGTATTGAGATTCTGTTTGCTATGCTTATGTTTTAGGATTTGGAACCTTCTATCGTGAATGGCAATGGAACCGAAGCTGGTCAGGTAATCGCTACAATTGTAGGTGGTCGAAATGGAAGACCAAAGCAGGTGACTTTTAAATATCTGCTTATCATATTTCATTTGATGCAACTAAAGCTCTCGATTGCTTAGAATGTTATGACATATATTTCGTTGTAGCATTTTCAATCAAATCATATGGTGTCTGATTCCCTGTAATTGAGGTCTAATTGTTTGAAAATTTTCTTTGCTATTGTCATTTTGTTGCAGACAATCTCCTATATGGCAGAGCGAGTGGTCGGTACAGGTTCTTTTGGTGTTGTCTTTCAGGTATTTGATTATGTTGTGTTTGTTTTCGTTCTTTTTAAATCCCGAGGTTGGTGCAACTTTTGAAATCATGTGTACATTGTTAATAGGCCAAGTGTTTGGAAACAAATGAAGCTGTTGCAATCAAGAAGGTGCTGCAAGATAAGAGATATAAGAACAGGGAGCTCCAGATTATGCGCATACTTGAACATCCTAACGTAGTTCAACTAAAGCATTGTTTCTTTTCCACTACTGACAAAGAGGAGCTGTACCTCAACCTTGTCCTGGAGTATATATCTGAAACTGTTTACAAGGTTTCTAAGCATTATAGCAGGATGCACAGGAGTATGCCCATTATTTATGTTCAGCTTTATACGTATCAGGTGAACTTTTCAATCGATTTGTTTTTGTTATTGCATTTGGCTGTTGCGATCCTAATGTAGTAACTTTTGTTCTCACTTTTTCAGATTTGCCGGGCACTAAATTACTTGCATCATGTTGTAGGGGTATGTCACCGTGATATTAAGCCACAGAATCTATTGGTAGGTCTTTTTCGCTTTATCCACCGTCCTATGTTCTTTTTATCAGTTGTGTTCTGAGCTTGTTTGTTTGTTTTTTCCCCTCATAGAAAAACCAAACCTAAACTAACTATATAGAAAGGGCTCAAATTTGAAAGATAGGGCCTAATGGATGATTATAGAACTCCATATAAATAGTTGCCCGCCAATGCATTGAAAATTAGCAAGGAACTCCTCGAGCTAGAAAGTTCAAATTGCCGCTGTGATATCCCACATCGGTTGGGGAGAAGAACAAAATCCCCATCGGTTGGGGAGAAGAACAAAAATCCCCCCTTTATAAGGGTGTGGAAACCTCTCTCTAGCAGACCGTTTTGAAAACCTTGAAGGTAAGTCCAAAAGGGAAAGTCCGAAGATTGTCATATCTGTTAGTGGTGGGCTTGGGCTGTTAGAGTCGCTCTCCTGAAGGAATAGATAAAGGCTAAGGGAAATAGAATCTCCATAAAACGGCAATCCCTGCTACAAGCGAAGGCGAATAACGCTTCAAAGATGTGCTCTTATGGGGAAACTGTTCGTACAAACGGTATTGTATTTTGAAAAATTTTCGATCATTATGGGTTGGCCTATTGGTCATAATGGTCGCGAGGAAATAAAAAGGAATGAGTTCAATACAGGGTGGCCATCTACATAGGAGTTCATGTAGGGTCAAGTGGTTATCCAGTGAGATTAATTGAGATACATGCACAAGCTGACCCGACCACTTATTGACTACAAGGGGATCTAACTGAGAAAAACACTGCATGCATTGCATGCTATTTTCACATGTATGGCTGCATATGCTAGCCAAAGGTAGTCATCTTTTACCTGCTGCTTATTTTTTTTTCTGCTCAATTGTGCAGGTTAATCCTCATACTCATCAACTAAAGATATGTGATTTTGGGAGTGCAAAGATGTTGGTATGCATTCATTGCTGAATTTGGATGTGATTCCTTATCTGTTGAAATTTATTAATTTAATGATCTGATGGAATCTAATTTCTCGATTTCAGATGCCCGGGGAGCCTAACATATCGTATATTTGTTCACGGTATTATAGGGCCCCAGAACTCATATTTGGGGCAACAGAGTATACAAATGCCATAGATATGTGGTCCGTAGGTTGTGTGATGGCTGAGCTTCTTTTAGGACAGGTAGGTCTTCACTTAAGTTTGCTGCCTTAAATATGTTGTACGGCATCATCTAACTCATATGGACTCGTTAATAGAGTTATTTCGACACCATTTTGTTCCTCTTTCTGATGAACCATGGACAATTATATGTTTGCAGCCTCTTTTTCCTGGTGAAAGTGGTGTCGATCAATTGGTGGAGATCATCAAGGTATGGCTAATTTCCTGTTCGACGTTGAAAAAATTACGAGACTTGCATATTTTTTTCTGTTCCGTTTCTGATTTCTATTTCTTCCCTTGGATTAGATTTTGGGAACCCCAACCAGAGAGGAAATCAAGTGCATGAACCCGAACTATACAGAATTCAAATTTCCTCAGATTAAAGCACACCCGTGGCATAAGGTCTCTTGTATTTTCGTCTAGAATTTTGTAGCCATTTCTTTTGATTCAACCTTTTTTTTTAATGCTATTAGTATTGTTATGAGGGTACATATCTCATTCCAAGCTCTGTATTCTCCAGATATTTCACATGAGAATGCCTGCTGAAGCCATCGACCTTGTGTCGAGATTGCTCCAGTATTCGCCCAACCTACGTTTCACCGCGGTAAGAACAATGACTTTTCTTTGCAATTGCAAACGCTGTTATTTCCTTAGCTGGTTGTGTTCCGATCTTTTAGAGACTAAAAGCGTTTTTTGAATTAACTTGGTTTTGTTTTTGGAATATGGCTAAGAATTCAAAAGGTAGGTTAGTAAAGAAATTGTGAGGAAACAAGCACGATTTCATAAACAGAAATCGTTATTAGGTGGGACCGGACCTACATGTTTGGTATCTGAGTTCTTGCTTTTTCTTTGTCCCAAAGTTCTGATTCCTGTATTATTTGATTTTTGAATTTTGTTGAATAGTAGCATTCAGTGTCTGCCATTCCGTTTATGCTATCTAAAGGTTGACTGAATAATGAGATGACATTAATGAGTATCATTATAAGAGAGACCATAGGTTTGAAAAAGAATGGATATCAATCTAACAATTAAGTGGCCTTGTTTCATTGCAGTTGGAGGCTTGTGCACACCCGTTCTTCGACGATTTAAGAGATCCGAATGCCTGTTTACCTAACGGTCACTCGCTACCGCCATTGTTCAATTTCACAGCACAAGGTAATCACCATGTTCTGTTCAATGCGTTAACCAGACTATTCTTGTTGGTAGTACTGATCCAAAATTGGTTGCAGAACTTGCTGGTGCATCAGCTGAATTGCGCCATCGCCTCATACCCGAACACATGAGAAATTAAATTAACACGAATATGGGGATATTGTTGATCTTTGGCCAAAACCAACCCCAGAAGATCATCCATCCGTAGTAGATATATCTCCACTGTCATCAACAACCTGCTCGTAACACGGAGAGAAGCGAAGGGTACCCGCACCGGGCAAAGGGAGGCAGCCGTGTGCTGGCTAACAAGGCTGGCCTTAAGTACTAATGTCAATACTCAGCTTCATGGCAGGTGTTATTCTTGACAGTGTATGAGTATCATCTACATTCGGATGAATAGTGCTTCTTGGATGTATGTATACTATTCATTACGAGTTTTGCTTTAGCAGAGAAACAGACAAACCCCCATTCAATTTCTTGCTTATGTGCCAATTTATTATCATCTGTAGCTTTTGCTGCATTTTGAAAAAGAAGTTGATGGCGGAGATTTTTTTAGAGTATTATAATTCAAAATTTGGCTTAGAGTTCAAAGCTCAAAACCAAGTAATGCTTTTTCTTTTTAAAATCCAAACATAACTCAACCCACGAATGATGGTTCGAGCTTAAATTTGTAATGGTTAAATTGGACGGTTTGAGTTGAGCAGTTAAGGTCACATTTGCTAATTGTACCTCTTGAACGTTCCTCTTCAAAATCATCCCTCAATTCTCATTGGTTTGTCACGGATCCAAGCACTTTCTTCATAAAACTCGACCTCCTACCTCCATTCCAACCCTAATCAAACGTCTCCTAAAATCTCGAGGCAACCAACTTAGTTATAAATTTAAAAACCACATTTTAAACCAAACAAACCAAACTAAAACATAGAAGGTATAGTATTATGTTTTTTTTTTCTCGATGGGCAGTTATAACCTTTCAACCCCTTAATTAAGTTTTTTTTTTTTTTACAAAAACAATATTTTCATATATATTTGTTGAATTATAAAATTCATATAAGGACAAAACGGAAAGATTTTAGAACAAAAATTCATTAAAGCTAAATTTTGGTTGAAATTTATGAAGTTATTTTTAATGGTTAATTTTATACAAATTTTGATTTTTTTAAAAAATTAGTGAACGAATTAGCAAAAATTAACGGGTTGCAACGCTTTTAATCATTAACAAATAATTAAATTCATTCAATTCTGTTCTTCTATATTATTAAGTGTTTCAAAATGATCACAGTGAAAAACATTTAAAATAATACATAAAATAATATTAATATCTCTGCATTCATTAGTAGTTTCATTTATCTTTAAAAAAAATAAATTATAAATATATATATATATATTTGCCACAATCTCCCCAATTCCCACCAAAAGGCCAGCGAGCAACGTCAAAAGAATATCGCCTGGATTCTCTTCTTTAAATCCAAAACCACTGCCAGGTACATTTCGTCGACCAATTTTTTCTCCAGTTTTGAATTTAGGTATTTCTGATTTTGATTTGTTCGACTTCCCATTTCGTCACTGTTCGTGTTGGTTCCAAATGAACTGGAGTAATGGCAAGGGAAGGGAAAAGAATGGTTCAATGTTGAGAATCAATTGGTTTTTCTTTGTTCAATTATTGCCAATAAATGTTTTAAATTGTTGTTAATGTTTGAGATTTATAGCTAAAGTTACGTCGAATTCTCTTTCTCGGGAGCCAACTTGTCGGTTGGTTCGTCCGTCTTTGTTTTGGGTGTTTAGAAATTCAGTCTATTTTGACAGTAAAACGTTTGGATTTTTTTATTACGATATTTACTGATCTCAAACTGTGATTTCTGACCCCTGAATTTTGATTTCGCCGTCGTTTGAGTGTAAGTATCACTTGGAAGATTAGTGGTTTTCTGGAAAATATTTTGAACTCTTTCATATGCTATTTGTTATAAGGAGCTGGAGGTGTTGGATAGGGTTGGTTTTTGCTGTTTTGAGCATCTAACTTGTTTTGTGACTAATTCAGGTTTTTATCCAAGAGTGCTGAAGTTTTATCTTATTTTCATGTGTTTAAAGCTTGAAGAAATGTTGATGGGACATACAGAGGGTCTATCACAACGCCAACACTCGAAGGATCTTCTTCTGTCGAATCTTGTATCCGAATTGGATATTGATGAAGCTGCAGATTGTTCTGAACAAATTCTGTATGAAGCGTCTTTTAAGGAATTTGGGAGATACAGTGTTCAATATGACACTATTATATGGTTTTCGATCTCATTGTTGCTGGTTTTAGCTTGGGGTTTTGGGATAATCATGCTACTATATCTTCCATATAGAAGATATGTGCTTCAGAAGGATTATTCGTCACGAAACTTATATGTCACACCTAGAGAAATAGTTTACAAGGTTTACTTTTATGTTATTTGGTTCTCCCTTTAGAAACTGTGAATCTATATATTTTTCAGAAGAAAGAAGGTGGAGGAGGAGTTAATTCTTGTAATCTTTTCTTAACCTGTCTTTTTCTCCCTTTTAAGGTTTCAAGACCTTCATTCATACCTTTCTGGGGTACCACAAAAATTGAGAAGCGTGTTCCTCTTTCCTTAGTGATTGATATCATTATCGAACAAGGTATGCATGCATCCTTCCTCTTGTGATCGTGCTGCTATCGAGTATATAATTTTCTTGATCGTGATTAATTTCTGATAAACAACTTGATATTCTCACTATAAAGATTTCACATGTGTCAGTGCTCTTTTGTACTTTCTTCCTATGCTATATCATTTTTAAATAATAAGTGGCGGTATTTTAATTCGGTACTATATTGAATAATTAATATATCGTGCTAAAAAATCTGGCGAATGATCTGATGTTGAAGTATTGAGAAATTTTGTCCCATGATATTATTATAAGTCACCAACAGAGTGGAAAAAATGAGTGGTTCTTAGCACTTTGATTTCATGCAGTGATGGCCTGTGTTTAAACACTTATTTGTCTTATAATATTTATACATATATATATTTGGTAGTGTTTTAGCCTACTAGGCGTACCTTGACTAATCTCATAAGGCGACTACTTGAACTTATTATATTTGGTTACTAAGTAGTAGACTTGCAACATATTAAATCTCAAATAGATGCGACCATTGTTAACCCGTTCCTTCTGAGCTCTTACTTTTTTCATTGGCCCCAATGACCATTAGAGCAACCTAGGGTGGTTATTTAAACCCTTGTTTGATGCACATAGGATTGTTCAATCTGAAATCATCCACTTTCGACCTCACCCCTGGCATGGAAAGAACAAGGAGGGTTCAAGTATTTCCGTTGGAATGGAAGGGCTTATTTGCTGTTAAAAAACGCAAATATTTTATATGGTGATGGATGTTCTACTCTAACTAAATTGATAATCTTACACCATTTTTGATGAACATATGGTGACTACAAGATGTGGGCACTCAACATAAAGATCCATGTGAACAGCTATCTCGCTCTTTAAATATGATATTTCCTTCAGCTCTAATATTTCATTTTCATTCTCTAACGCACTCAGTAGTGAATGTGTATGACCATATGAAACTGCATGGGTTTATAGTTTTTTCTTCTGTGTAGGTTGCTTACAGTCAGTGTACGGAATCCATACCTTTAGAGTTGAAAGCATAGCACATGGAAAAGCTTCTCGTGTTGATGACCTGCAGGTTCAAGGGATTTCTAACCCTGGTCTCCTGAGAAAGGTTGGTTTGTATTCATCTGTTGACTTGTGCACTATTACTATTCTTTATAGTCGTGGCAGATGAGATGCTCACCTCTTGCATTTCAACCAGATCATCGTAAGAGAAGCTTCAAAAGTTATACAAGATTTTGGCAGAAGTTGGAATAGAACTTCAATTACTGCTGAAGGAGAAAGCTTCCTATCAATGGAGGGACCAACTGTTTTAAAATCTCCATCAAAAGGGTTGAAGGTGTGATATAGCCTTTGCTTTTGATTGTTGCTAGTTTTGAGGCTCCTTTTCTTTTTTCCTTCTCGTACCCCTCTCAATTTAGCGTCCTAAATCAGGGAAAGTACAGGCCTGTGGCTTTGCGAAGTCTGTCAATTGGTATGTTAGATAGAAAGTAGAACAAAAGTGATAATTTTAGATAGAAAGTAGAACAAAAGTGATATGGGCTTTTAAAGAGTCTGTTTCCAAGTTGTGTCAATGCCATTGGACATCATAAAAAAAATCTATGTGAGATCCTACATCGGTTGGGGAGGAGAACGAAACATTCTCTATAAGGGTGTGGAAATCTCTCCCTAGCAGATGCGTTTTAAAGCCCAAAAGGGAAAGTCCAAAGAAGAAAATATCTGCCAGCGGTGGGCTTAGGCTATTATGATCTCTCTGTTGCTACTTGTTTCAGACCTTCAATTCCTTCATTTTCTGTTTCATCTGAAGGCTTTATAAAGATAAATACTTCTTTTTCCATTTTTTAGGCACTCGTAATTTGGCCAACAAATGTACAGTTAAATTGCGATGCCTGTAGGGAAATTCGTTTCTTTGAAGATTATTAATATGCCAACCAAGAAGAAAACTTAAGTAGTCTATCATCTAGATGAAATCTATATACGTATTTGATGATTTATTCACGCTTGTGTATATTTTGTGTTCCTGTCATCTTAGTGCTTTGCCATCTCATCTAGGAGTCATTTATTTACGTTGGATGTCAATCTTCGATATAGCTATGTGTTCTGCCGAGTTCTTGCCTTTCTTATATCTTTTTTTTCCATTTCTGCAGGCTACTAGAACACCACAATATGCGTCGAAGGAGCGTAGAAGTGTATTGTCTCAGGACTTGCTGCTTCAGAAGCTGGAAGAAGTCAATATATCAGTCAAGGTATTATCACTTCTTTTGTTATTACTGTAAGAGATAAGCGGAATTGATGCTTAGTAAGAGGATAATAACTGCTAGCCTGTAGTGGTTGGTGTAAACTAAATTAAAATGAACACAAACAGCTCAAAAAGAGTGTCCTTATTAGATTGCTCAAACTAGATGTATTATCATTCACTTAAATTCTTTATTTCTTCCATTTCTTTCGATTTATTTGTCGACTTCGTGAACAGAAAATCGAGCAGCTTATTAACGAGCCCCACCCTGCCCCTGAAATCAGCTGATGGAAACATCAAATTGGTCTATGAACCTGTTTTGTTAGTTGAAGCTTGAGTGAACAGGGGAAAAGAAATTTGGGAGTGCACTGTGTATGTATAAGGTAGGAAAGTAGCTCTGTATATTATGATGTTTTTGTATTGTATATGGATCCATCTTTTTAGTAATTGATTGAGTGAGACTGAGCTTTGTTTGCCATGCAAATGGACAATGAGTTGCAAAACTGTTTGAGCATTCATTCTTTTGTCTAGAGTTTTCACACGAGTTGGTGTTTTTGTTTAGTACCACGGTCATTTAACTTATGTCTAACTATTAGTTTGAGTAACTTATGTCTAACTATTAGTTTGAGTGACGGCCAAGTTGAATATAGCTTAACTAGTTAGATATATATACTCGTTGTTCAAGAGCAGATCATTTAACTTTATGTCTAACTATTAGTTTGAGTGACGATTAACTTAAATATAGCTCTACTAGTTAGACAAATATTATACATTTTTTAACTAATCAGTTCAATAAATTAAAGTCTATTGAAAGATCGATAAAAAAAAGATCGAACAATTGTGTTTGATATCACGTTGTTGAACTCTCATACATTTGGATTTGTTCTAAACCCACAAAATCAATACAAATAGAATTCTTTCGATCAAATTTCTTTTGGAATTTTATGGATTTTTTTTTTTTTTTTTTTTTTTTTA